AATCGATGCTCTGGAAGAGAACGTAGTACAAAAATGATCGGTTTTTATTCTGCGCCCGCGCACCGGATACGTGTTCCTGTGAGAATGTCGAACCCGATTTTTTATACGTCAAAAAGCGGATGTCCTTCGTTCGACCGGCTTATGAAAGGTGTTGAACATATGTCTGTATTATTACTAAAGCGATAATACCATCTTAATTTACCAATTTACAATTAAATAGATTACGACATGTTAATGGGTTAAGAAGTCTAAATCAAAATCATTCTATAGTTATGATTTCACAGTTCTAAATGTTATTAATTAACTTAAAGCTTGAAACTAGTTAAATGAAGTAGCTAATAAAAGTTAAAATAAACCCGGCTGATAACTGAATTAAAATGATTGGTGATTATATTCCCCAGTACACGTTTAAGCTCGAGTACCGATAAATTTGTGCTGTCTTATTGTAGCAGTTTTAGTCAGTATGCAAATTTTGATCTAAAAATTATGGAGAATCATTCCTGATAGACTTCACAAAACATCCTGATAACACAAACAAGTATTATATCCACTTAGTGTTTAAATCAAGCAGGTTATTTGATCTCTTTTTTATAATTATCTAAGCAGACGGATTAATTTGTTCAAAGGAAATGATGAAACAAAACCGTGTGGCACTGCGGTGCATAGCAGCGAACGTTATAATTTCGTTTTGACCACCTGTCTTATAATCACCTGCCGACGAATCGCTAATAGGTTGTGCACACGCTGTGCCACATGCATTTTTGGATGTTTCCATTGGTCATAAATAAATACGTCGCATAAGATATAAGCAATAGTGCTGTGCTAAAATATTATCTTTAAGTGGTGCTTGAGCTGTTAATCTGGTTGTTATCATCAATTTATTTATGGAGCAACAAAAATCCGTAGAATTGTAAACTCTTACGATGACATGTGTTTCATCATCATCTTCACCAGCCTCTTAATGTACCCATTGCTGGGGCTTCAGGTCTACCCTATTGATAAATCGAATCAAATTGCAGATGCAGCCGGGATCAACGGCTTAACATGACTTCCGAAGTTCGGAAGAAATCGAATAATATTTTTGGTCATCCTTGACCGGCCCTTACGAATGTTGCTTAACAACTATATTGTGGACGCTAACCACTGCACCATCGGCTCCTCAAATTTATGTGTAAGGGGAATCAAGTAAGGGGAATATGAATAATCACAAGCATTGGAAAAGTTTTGGTTACCCACCAGGTAACATTGCAAAAGCTAAGCGATGTAAGTGAAACGTTATGTATTATTAACTATTGCGACATCGATTTCATATGTACGTTATCACGTATCTTGACTTTTTTTACACACTTTAATCAATCACGGTTTTAGTCTTTACATCTATTGATAATATCCGTCTAATAATTACTTCGAGAGATGCTTAGTTTTCAAAGAAGGTTTAAGTAAATTTTTTAGAGACGACAATCCAACCAACGACTGAATAGTTATACATTAATTTGCAAAAATAAAAAATAATTCAAGCAAAACAAGTTTCTTTCCACTTTCAGATTAGCGCAAACAATTTCGTTACAGATTTATGAAAAACTAATGGTATCAGGAATAATCGTTCATACCTGAAATGATCTAAATGATCTGCTTCTTTCTTTTTTGTTTCTTGAAAACCGTTGACGAAATAATGGAAACATACTGCAACAAGATAAAACAAAAGTTTTGTTTATTAATTCAGTAGCTCTGTTTTAATATTATTTTAATTTGAGTCATTACATTGACGATGCAAAAGTCAAGGTCAATCTATATTTTCTACTGTTAATTAAACGCTTACTAGACTATATTAATGGTAGGTAGGCATAGGCACGATATAAGGTGTCTTCAAGAAAATTAGTTACTCTATTCATTATTTTAACAGTAACGAGTTACAAGCGTTATAAGCTTTTTGAAAGATATATTTGTATTATGGTAGAGTAAAGAAAGACATCGTAGAGTAATCACAATTATTTTTTAAGACTTTATTGTATAGTTTTTGGAATTAACGTGTCCACATTAATTAATCGTCATCGTCGCCTACGTCTCTGAAAAGTAGCTTAACATTTGACGAACCGACAAGTCAATTTCATTTTTTTTTGAGCCATGAGCAATATGAGCGTAGTTTCCAGCGCGCGCAACAATAATGCGAAAGATTCGAGAAACAAGCGAGCACGAGATATTTTATAGTCATATCACACTCTATCCGTTTATTGTCAAATATAATTTTATTGTCATTAAATGACATTTATTTGGTTAATACTTCAGGAATGTGAGTAGGGTAAATATGCTTTTGATATCACTTAATGTTCTACTCAACCGCTATCCAGCATAATATTATCCAAAACTTAAGATTAGAATAGAACGCCATGATAACATTTTTGTCCGCTAAAAGTACTTCACTAGATTTTATTTGAAATTGGTTTGATATTCCTATGTGACAACTAAAGCTGTTGATTAAAATTATAAAAAGCCACTAGTTTTTAATAGCTATTATAACGATCTTAACGAATGTACTTGTAAAAAAGTGTCAGGTATCAAGTTAGACTCTTCGCTACCTAAGTACTCTATATCTACGTTAAATTATGATATTTTAATTTAACACATTCATAAATAAAATTGACAATAATCGTGTTTATTACAATTATTTTCTTTTAAAACAACAAATGGCACTGATATATAAGTTGTAAGGTTTCATTTATTAATAACATAAGCTTTACAACGCTAAGAATAAGGTCGTTTATATCGAAAACATCTCAGAACACACATCTGCGACATCTGGTGTTGGTGAGCACGTGGCCGGCACACCTTTTGTCTGAAACCACCTTTTTACCAATAAACCTATTTATATCTTGACACTGTTCTAAATTTAAAACACTGCAAATGAGGTGAGTTTGCACAGTGCTGTGGTATGCAAGCAAATAATATGAAGTCTTTTAAAGAATTGGAACTTTTAATATAATATGTCAATTAAATATTAGTGTCTGATCATTTAATTTGTACAATATTTTATTACCAAAAGCTAGGCTCTTTATGATTAACTAGCTGTTTTCACCATTTTTTCTCGCGTAAATTTATAGCATATCCTATGTCACCCGAGTATGATGTAGCGTCTCGTAGGTGAAAGGATCTTTAAAAGCGTTCCAGTAGTTTCGGAGCCGATTCAATGCAAATAAATAATCTTTCTTCTATTTAAATTAGCTATAATATTAGTATAGCTAATTTTATATAAAACATCACATAACCAAATTGCATGTTACAATGCAATTTGTGCGATTGTTCTCGTATGTGGATGGTTTGACATTTATTGAACATAATGATATATATAAGTGGGTGTTTTTAATGTTTAATATAAAACTATCATAAAAAAATTAGTTTTCGTCGTATAAACTTATTATCTTTTTTAATCTTTCAACTTTCGTAAAAATGGGTCTGAAGCTTTTGCTTCTGATGATTTGCGGTAATTAGATTCTGTATTATCTTTTAAATCAGTGTTTTTCAAACATTTATGGCGAAGAAACACTTTTGGAAACCAAAATTTACACGGAGCCCTTCCATAATATAAAACCTTTTATTACTAATGTATAACATACATATTTTACTTTAATGCCAACTTGGTTACCTTGAGCACTCAAAGAAAAAAATTCTGTTCAAAAAACAGAAAACGCGAATGAAGTAAACAGATATATTTCTGTATAATATTTATTTATCGAATAGGTTTAAAAAATATATATATGTTAATATATAAAAAAATATAACTAGTATTAAACAACATACATGCATGTTATTCAATGTTAATTAAAGTTATTAAAAATACATAAATCAATGAATTTATTACGTAAGCTTATAAATGTTTGTGTGTGTTTTTTAATAATAAATAAATATTAATTTTTGACTCCAATAAAACCTTATTCGTCTTATTATAAAACTAGGACCTTTTTTGTACCAGGGTTAAACGATTATCCGAGCAAAATAAGTCAACACGTCTTATTTTGCTTTAGGCGGTCAATGGTGTAAACCAGTGCTAAATTTAGTCCGTAGTTGATAATATTTCCCTGGGGAATTTTGTGAAACTATCGTGTTCAATTTTTTGTTATTTTTCCTGTAAAACCAACAATTAGCATAATTTATTCAGTCTTGATAAGTACAGTAAGCACTATACAATCTGTGTAGGTACTTAAAAAACTTAGAAAGAATATTTAACTACTTAATAGTTAGAGTTTTTAATTTAGGCAATGAAAGCAAAAGCTCCTCCTTAATTTTTTTTTATATTCCAACATATGGAGTTGGAATATAAAAAAAAATTAAGGAGGAGCACTTTTAAGTTGCAGAATAATTATCCTTAAATCACTACCACTATTTCAAAACCAGTTATGTTATTACGATTAAGTAATACGTGACTTATTCAAGTTCAACAAAATATTGTACAAAGATAATTTTATTAAACTACCCTGACCTGCAACCAACCTCGCTGTACTGACTGACTTTCATTGCGGTGACCGATTTTTCAGTGTTCTATTTTAATATATTTTTAGAATTTTATACAACTAATCGTTACATTAGCGATAATTTAAATGCGTTTACATTTTGACTTTGTGATGAACTGAATTTATTTGTTACTTCTATTCAGCATGTCTTCCTACTACCTAGTGTTAATTGCTACGCAGCGGGGAAAAGCCTGGGAGGAGCATGATTCAAAACATAATGGTCACCAATCTGAATACTGATCTTTGCTTAACATTCGCAATCACAAACAGCGCTGACCACTACAAATCGCGCACCTCGTGACTACTATAGACTTTCATAAAATAAACAAACAAATGCGGCTTGGCAACATCGCGTCGTTGTCCTCGTGTGGCGTTGCCGCCACCCGGCCGCTCTCATGTATCCACGCTCTCTCCACATTATCGCTATCTCGCTCTTTCTTACTTTATTATCGAACTGTGAGCAACGCGTGGAACGCAACAGTCACACCGAGTGGGGTTTAGTGGAAGGTTGTTGTGTTTTACCTGTTTCATTAGGATCAAACTCGATTCTATTCCATCGGATCGTAGGCGAGTAAGAATTAATGTATGTACGTTTCTTATTTTAACTTTTTAATCTCTCAATTAAAACTATAATAAAGAAAAAAAGGCTCGATAAGATATCATAAACACGTTAAGTGATTGATGTTGAAATATGTCAATATCTAATCAAATACATATTTATGTGCGCTTTGCGTTTTATGTATGGATGGATACTTATTGTTCAGTTACACTGGTCTATGACGTCCCCGAGAGGGTTGCAGGCGATTTCTTTGAACGCTTTCATTTGTCGGTTATTTTACTAACCAATGAGATGAACCTTCTCCCCACATACTGACTCCGACGAACAGTATAACTAAGCCATTAGCTGTTACCCGTGTTCAATAAAGGGTATGTTCCGATATACACTGCGCAGTGGTCTTACTGCTGAAAAATCCGTTCCGTTATGGACTGCCAGTACACTGCTACAGTACCCTAGGGAAATTCATGACGTCATAAATTGCCGCCATATTTGTACTGTGAGCACTGGAGATTTCGAGGTAAGGTGCTCGCAGTGCTTTTGATCACGTGATCAGTCGAAACAGAATCAGAAAATGATAAGTTTCTAAATAAACAAAAAAAAATACTTACGTTTATTATATGACGGATAAATAATTTTTTTTATACAATTTTCCAATTTTATAATATTTTCTTTGGAAAAGAGGGAATCTTTATATTTATATTGACTTTGCATTAACAAATTTGAAATTGGCGCCAAAAAATAGGATTAACAGTATACTGGATTGCGTTCCGTTTTAAAAAGTCACCAGTATAACTAGCTATAAAGGAACGGGCTTCCAGTATACTAAATTGACGTCATACTGTTCAGTGTTCGCAGTGTATATCGGAACATACCCATAGGAAAAATAAAAGCAAGGTAATTGTCAGAGTTCGAATGTCAAAACGACATCGTAGCTCTCATTGTAATTTGCAATCAATACATAATAATAACACTTAAGTTACTATAGTTATTACTTATTTTGTCTTGAATAATAATTGTTACGTAGTAAAAACTACTTCCTACAATTAGCTTGACAGCTGCAGAATCTCACAAGAATTCACTTGTTAATAGTACCTTTGCTGCTGGTGAGCATATTTCCATCTTTCGAAGAGCACTTGCAGATTCAATTCTTGTTAAAGACGTTGATATGGCATGGGCAAACGTAGACGATCAGACGTCACTTCAATTTGTTAAAATCGTGGAAAAGTTCCCTGATATATATGACAATAACACAGACACGTATAGAAGATGGTGTGCCCACAGAGCTTGGGATAAAATAGTTGATTGTGTAAAAGACGAAATGAAAATTGATTGTACAGGTATGTAAAAATTGACTTTCTTTTATAACAATCCATCCAAGTCTTGATTATACGAAAACTTTCAACGACAATCTTAAGAAAGAATAAAGGTACTTCGACGCCTTCATCATCATCATTATCGTCCTTCCCTTCTATATAGTGGTCTATCCTAGGAATCCCTTTAATATAATATTCTTATTCCTTATATAATTTGGCATAACCATATTGGCACAATTCTCTTTCGCATATCATACTATTCCTTAATCGTTTTTTGCTAGCTATCTTGTCACCTAATTTTCTTTCGCATAAAGTACCTAGACTTCGAACCAATCTCTCAATGAGTTAGTTAGTTATACTTACTTATTTATATTATAAGTGACAAGAGCTGCGTTTGAACGACCGTGCCCTCCTTGCGGTCCACGGCGCCTAGTAATAAACTAGTTGGCGAAGAAAACGGTAACATTATTCGCCTGCGCTTCCCTAAAAGTTACAGATGGTTCAAATAGGTTAGATTAGCTCTGTGAACGCAACGCAACGCAGGGGCAAGCCGCGGTTGGGGAACCCCCTTCCCTATGGTGGGTACGCAAGGTGGTTAACGCAAGACTGAGTTAGTGGATGCTGACGACTGCAAAAGCAATCGGAACCAACGGCCTAAGCCTTTCAAATTATGAAGGTGATCGAAATAACAAATTTTTGATCACTTACCCGTTGATTGGTCTATAATTATCATGTCAAGTTAATGAATTAAGTTAGATTAACAAAAATATTTTCAGTTAGTGAATTAAAAAGTCGATGGAAATGTATCAGGTCATCGTACAGCAGATACAAAGCCAAACTTAACAAGAGCAGACAGGATGATTCACTCCCACCAAAAAAATATTACCTCTCAGATGCTTTGAAATATTTAGATCCATACATGAAACAAAAAAGGTAAATCATGATTTTTTTTAACAGTTCTGGATTTACAAGAAAGAGAAATCATTACCAAATTAAATCACTTATAAGACAAAATATTTAGTGTTTCAGGGAATGACCCCGAGGAAGAAATCGTATTTGAAACTTGCTTCACGAATGAAGATGATTCGAACTCTAATAAAAGTGATGCTAATAATATAGATTGGACAGCAATTGAATTAAAACCTGATGTACTAACAATCAATAAAAGTGACTCACAATTCTCGGAAACAGAAGAGCCTCTCAACATAAATGCAAAAAGAAAACGGTTAAACAGCGATAGTGCAGATGCTGACAATGACAGTTTACAATTTTTCAAAAGCATATTGCCAGATATAGAACATTTTACTGTTAAAGAAAAGCGTCGATTAAAAATGGGAGTTCTTAAGCTTATCGATGATATTGAAAACGATAGAAATTGAAAATATTGAAATATCTCCACTTGTTATATGTAAATCATTACACAGTGACAATTAACTGTGAGAAGATACGGTTCTATTGATATTGTCTATTACAAATCTGAATAGCGTTAAAACATGTTCGAGACATTACCATAGTATATTACTAGTTGAGCGTATATAACCCGGCTGGTTTCGGTTAAAGTCTTATGCCCTAACTTCAGCTTCAGAATAGCTGCCTACTATTATCCGACGTGTAACATCTTCTACCCTCATTTGCATGGAAATGAGATCCGTAAACATTCTCAACGTCGCAACCCTCAGTTTTCCGACACCTTCTTTGCTTAATTACAAACGACGACACGTAATACTATTAAAAAAAAATTGGTGAAAAGCGATCGAGTGTTTCAACATTATTTTTAAGACAAATTTTGTAATACCTATCACAAATACAAAGCAATGTTGTCATAAATGACATTCCATCAACAAGGAATCTAGCGCTACATGTTATTTTAAATAACGCGAAACAGATTATACGCAAAATTTAATAATGAAATTGAGCTAATTTACTATTTATTTTGAAGGTTGAGATATTATCTCACACATTCTAACTTTGAAAAGATTTTCAAAATAATAAGAAAATTAAACAATAAAAAAGAAATTAATTTCACAAAAATCTATTTTATCTTCAATAAAATCGAAACACTAAAAGTGGATACATCAACAATATTATTTTGAGGTCATTTTTAGTGTTTCGATTTTACTGCAGATGAAAAATTGAATATTATTTCTCTCTTTTTAGTCGTTTCTCTTAATAGGATTATTTTGAAGTCTTTTTTTATTTCTTTCTTTTTTTCAATAATATAAGTTATCGTTTAGTCATATCACTTACTTTTAACTTGTAATAAATGGATACCTTCGCCTGTATTTTTAAGATACTTTTATTTACCGCATAAATATTTTCTGTAGAAGCAGTTCTAACCTAACCTTTTCCTTTTTTTATACCGAAGGGAACTGACCTTAACATGCCGTCGGCCTGAGCGAGAGGCCTACTGAACCCGGGATCTCCCACTGCAAGGGACGGCGGTCCAGTGCAGTAGGCCTACCGTGCAAAACCCCCCATACTACCCTCTCTCTTGGTCCGGTATCTGATATCTTAAAATAAGTCCCAGGTAGACCCGGACCGTAGTTATAACCTAACCTACTATTCTGATAACAGTTCGTTACTTTAATTCATTTAGTTATCTCTTATGTTGTTCTCTAAGTTGAAATAGTTATTCAAACAAAAAGTATCATTTCAATCCAATATCTAATTTATGAGAAACTCGTTATGAAATATATAAACACACATACATCGTTAACACCAACAAAATGTATCACACGGGTTTAGAAGCGCATATAGACTAATATATATTATGAATATTGCGCCATATTCCAACAAAATTACATACATAAAGATCAAATTGATAACTTTATTTCTTTTAAGGTCGGTTAAAAACGTTGAGGTCAAATCGTGAACCTCTCTTTTGAAGTCGGTTGATCACATACATACATACACAAGTAAACAGACGGCTTCCTTTATTTAAAGAACAAAAAAAATATATTCCAATTCGCTTTCTACTTTGCGAGATATCCGTGGACAAACATACAGCAGACATACATACATCTATAACATTTTGCACACGTCCATACACAAGTCCACACAGAACATATATGCATATTATGCAATTCCAACGAAATAACATACATACAACTCGAATTAATAACCTTCTTTTTGTATATGTAATTTACTAATCACAAATAAGCAAGTTATGACGTCATCAAATTGGAATACCAAATACCTAATCAGTGTAACCATCAACAGTTTATTGCTTTAGTTCAATGTCCTAATTCTGCATGATAAAGATTATTACTATTACGTTTTTATGCCATAGACACACAATTCCAACTTTCCAGAATGTTTCAGTTTTTAGTTCGTTCCATCTTTTTAGATTTAATAAGACGAAATTGTGTTTATTTTTGTTTATATATGTTCATATACGAAATAAACATTTTTTAAAAGATTTCTTAAATTGTTTAATTTCTCATAATCGCTATTACGAGTACTACTTATTGTTCCAAAATTATTACAATTATTTTTTTAAATATTTATCATTTCTTCTAGGCAACTGTCAATTTATTTTTATAACCAATTTTGTTATCGCTCTGGTTGTTCCCCAGATATGAGTTATAAATAGTATTATTTTTATATAAATAGGTGTTCTACGACCAAACACGTAATAATCTCTTTGTGTTGTCTCTTTTAGAATTATATTGCTCTTATTTTGTAGTCCATATACAGTGAACAATAAACAAGCAGACCACGAGGAGGCCTCCTCTTGACCTCCTCCCTCCAAGCTAATACCATTACTGTAATTAGGATATGCTTGGGCATAATTGATGCAGTCATAAACTAGATTCCTCTTGTATATACATAAGAGGTATAGGTGTATATTGATTTATGTAAGGCGGTGACGTATAATTGGAGGTTAATTTACTTTAATTGTTACTTTAAATGAGATTAAACCTAAAGTCCGAAGTTGCCGATCTATTGATACACAGAAAACGTCTCACCTGCAATATTTAATCACAAACGGTTACAAAGTTACATGTAAATGATTTATTGATAAATATTTTATGTAAAGTAACGGGTATTTTATCATTATTTCCACTAACAAGCATAAAAACTTTTAAAATTACTTATAAACTGTATAATATTTGCAAATTGATATCAACGTAAGAAACGTTTAAAGCTAAGAAAAAATAATGCGCACACAGCGTGTGGTTAAAATCATAATCATGTAGTGGACAAAGTACTTAGCACTATTTGGATTATTTAGTAGAAATATTTTTAAGAAGAACTATTCTCATTTCGAAAGCTTTCTAGGCGTGCGTATATCGCAAGTAGAGCTTTTAGAAAAAAACTAAACGATATCTAAGAGTAACTTAATGAAACCAAAAGGGACAGAGGATGACGCCTTGCGCGAAATATGGTCAGTTGCATAGACATCCATTAGGGTTTGATGACGTCATTAGTTTAATACGACATTGCCGATATAAATTTGACATTCATTAGAACTTAAAGTCGTTATTAAACCTTAATGGACATTTTTACTACTGACCGTAATTCGTTTTAAACTAAAGAAAATTTTAATAGACGTTTGTGCAACTGCTAGATAGAGTGCCAAAAAGTGGGCCTTAACATTGTAATTTTTAGGGTATATTTTATGAAATTACATTATGACCAAATCAGAACCTCTAGTCATTAATGTTGTTCTCTCGGGTTTAGACCTTTTAACAAAAGCCTCTTATATGTCGTGAGTTAGTACAATGAGTACAATGCCATGCATGAATAACTAATTAAATCGAAGCTCAAGTAAGCGAATAGTTTGGCTTTCGGCAAATTTGTTCGGCGAAAGACAAACTATATACCTGCATTCGATATACCTACATTTATTAAATTGTTAGCCTACTAAAATTTAGCCCAGTCGCGAAAAACCAGTTTGTTTTTATCTTTTTGATCAGTCCTGTATCTAGGAATGAAACTACCACCTAGGTATCGATACCTACTCAGTATCGAATGAAAAATATCGATATATAATAATTTTAAAATGCCTCACCATCGTTGTCATTTTTATAGATCTTTAGAGCAGATTTGATTTAATTGATAGTCAATAGCAATATTATACTCTGTTTACAGAAGAAAAGAAAGAGAAGCAGGTCCAGGCATAAAAAGTGAGGCATATGCAGTGCTCTCTCTAGATAGATCTCTAACCACATAAAATTAATAAGGGTTATCAGTGCTTATTGTCATGCTACAGGGACGCCGCGCCTGTGGAAAGTTTTCATGAGACAGATTTTAGATACGTAAGGTACAAAGTAAACAGTCTTACACACAATTTACACTCCTCAGCGATTAACCGACCAAGTACCGATACAAATACTTACTTCACGATACTACTTGTTCCTCTGTAAAGTATCGAATCCAAAAGTACGCGGGATCAAAAGAAAAGTACAAATGAGTACTTGTATTTGCTTGTATCCTTTCATCCATACCTGTATCAATTACAGATCATAACAAGGAGTTTTTGAGTTTTATTTTAAATCATCCACTACAATATTTACTTTGTTTTACTTCTAATCCTACCAATATATTTTTAGATATTTAATTAGTTGCCTGTCCTTTGTACAGCTGCGTTATAGAACATTGCTCGTTGCTCGGCATGTAAGTCAGTCCGTTAATTGAATGGCGCCATTCAATTAAAGGGCTAGACGCCCAATCGGTCGGTTGATTATACCACTTGACTGTGAAAGATATACCAGAATGCGTTGTGACAATCAAGAATTTTTTTTAACTGGATATAAGTTATATGCAACGAAAAAGCCTTGTTGTTTAGTTTAATAATGTTTTCTCTGTCTGTTATGTCCTTAGTGTCGTAGAACGTTTTCTCACTTTCGAATGTTTTAAGAAAATCACAGCGATGTAATGTGGATTTATAATATTAATAGGATTATTTTATTTTATAATTTACGCTATCGGCATTGGAGTGTGACTTTAGATAGAATAACCATTCGCAATATTTGTATTATTTCAATATTAGATGAGAGCACTGATAATTTCATACTGTTTCAAATATTCAAATTAACTATGATTCCAACAAAAAGTACTAGGACGATCTATATATATTTATCTAAACGGAATTTCTATCTGTACCTACGTAAGAATCAATACTGCGACACCAATGTATATTTGTCTTGTTTGTAGAATGGATTTCTGGTAACTGCTGTAAAACAATATATTAGACCGAGACAGGACGAATATTATGTAAGTACACACATTAACACATCAGAAGGTCTACTCTATCAAACGAAATATCCGAGGTTTCTGAAGCATGAAAAAAGTAGAGATATTAAATTTTTGGTCACCCATCCTATGACCGGCCCTTGAAAAAGTTGCTTAACTTAAATTTGATTTTTTAATTCTCATTTTTGGTACCTGTTTCAAATGAAGCGAGCTTTTAATGGAAAATTAAATTTCTTGCATGACATTTACCGATATTCACAAAGATTATCTAGATCGTACATCCGCCACGAGTACACATAGCAACACATCTGCACGTCAGGTTTCCATAATCCCACCATTTGCCAAATTCCACAATTTAGGTCCTGGATAGCTCAGTGGTTAGATCAGTCGCCCGTATTGCGAAAGGTCGTAGGTTCGAGTCCCGTTTCAGATTACCTGGGACTGGTGGATTATGACCTGGCGGGCTCCTTGCTGGATTCCGGGACCTTTCCCCGTCGCTTAAGCGTATCCTTTTCAGGACGGGTGGGAGGCAGAGAGCCCTGGTTTATGCTATGATTGCATTTCTTACTCTATTGCCCCAGAATGAAAGAAAAGGTTTCCACAATATGACAAATTTTCGCAATTGATTTTTAAGTCTATC